TTTTATAGTTTTGCTTGGGAAAGAAGTAAGGTAACTTATTGTAGTGCCACGTTTTGAGATAAAATTGTATACAATTCTTATTTCATTCATGAATTTTGGATAGGTGTAATGTCTGAGGATAGAAAATGACATCTTGTCCCCGTTTTCTTGGAATTTGGGTCATATGCTATATAAATATAAGGCAGAATACTGTTAAACATAAAAAGAAGTATTAAATGTAAGAATTAAATACAATGTCTGAGACATATATTTGTGTTTGTTATCCTGCTTGTTTATAAATTTACCTGGTCCGTGTATTCATGAATATATTGTTTTACATTGGAAAGAACATACTCAGTTCTTTCTTTAAAAGTTTTTTTGTCATTTAGAATTACCTTTCTTGAAGTTACTCTGACCTGATGTGGCCATACATTTTCACTGCTGTAAATTGCATGAACATATAGATTCTCTATTTCACTTCTGAGGTTTGAATTGCTCATAATCTTTGGCTGTTATTACAGTCTTGGGTGTTTTTCCCAGTTCTCTATGGACTGTACCTAAATTGGGATGATGGGTCAGGGCTGTAGATCTGTTTAACTTTTCTGGGTAATGCCACACTATGGTATAGTAGCACCAATTTCTGTCACAACTACCAGTTGTCCCTCAACCTCACTAATACTTGGTATACTTTCTTGCCATATTAGTGGATGGAAAATAGGCTCTCATTTGTGGCTTGGCTTTGCATTTACCTTTTTGCGTTTTCTTTCTAATGCAGTTACAAATCTTTCTGTGTGATTATTGTCTTTCCAGATTTCCTCGTCTTTTTTTTGGGATTTCCGTATCGATGTATATAGATAGGTGAATAGCCGCTGCTGAGTGGTCTTCTACTTGTAATGACCTTATGTCCTACAGAATGAAATGTGGTTTAGTCCTGGGCCAACCTCAGGACTTGCAGCATGTTCAAATCTGTTGTCATGGCTGCATGGCCATCCATCTCTCCGAGTGTTTCCGTTGCTTTTTCTCCATTTACCCAAATGCAGTGTCCTCCTCCAGTGATCAGTTCCTCCTAATGATGTGTCCAAAGCAAGCAAGTCAAAGGACAGTGTTCTACAGAGTTTCATAAAGTTTTCAGTGGCTGACTTTTAGAAAGGAAACTCTGATGGCAATAACTCTATAGGGAGTTACACTGCTGACCCCAAAGGGGTGCCTTTTTGACATTTCAAATCCACCACCAGCAACACTGAGGGAGAAAAATGGTGATTACAGTTCCCGAAAAACTACCAGAGCATCAGCGATGAGTTGGCTCTAATTCATTGGCAAGGAGTCGAAGAGTTTTTAATTTGAATTTTTAGAAATCGGTTTCCTGGCTTTTCTCCCTAATCTGTTTTTGCAAACTCTGCTAAAACCTGTCCACAATGAGTGGTTCTGCTGGCATTTGAAACACTGATGGCATAGCTGACAGCATCGTGGCAACATGCAAGCTGCCGAAGTCCCACGGACTGACGGATGGGTAGTGGTATTGAGCAGTAGGAGCTCGTTGTATATTCTGGGTCTTTAAGCATTGTCAGTTATTTGTGTCCCAAGTGCCATATTTATTTCCTTTCTTTTTCTTCGGTTATTTCCTCCTCTCTTTAACTTGTCTGTTTGCATTCTTATCATGTTGCCCTTCTGTCTGTCCTGTCACCAAGTAAGATAAAGGCTGCATGTCCGACCCGTGCAAATTACTAGCATGTTTGTATGCTTTGGATAGCTGCCCAAATCAAGTAAAACCAGAAGAACTTAAAGAGGCCATTTTTTTTCTAGACTCCCATCTACCATGGCTAAACTCAGAAAAACACAGCCATTGTCTTCTTTGCACATAATTAGGATGGAGCATCTGAACCCTTGAAAACTGATGTTTCTAGCCATTGCTTTAGTTCCCATAGGAGGGTGGGATGGGCATGGGCTCCAGTTTCCTCAACTGTAGACACGTGGTCTTGCAAGAGAACAGAATAGTGAGTGAATGAAACTTGACAAACAACATTGGGCACGCTACTTGGCTTGCCCCTTTCGACCTCTTGTTGACCTACTACTAGTACTTCAAGAATTGGCCCGATCCCTCTTCTCTGTATACACGCCCATTCTTGGTTATTCTGTTGGATTCCATAAGTCAGAAACAATTCTCTATCACTCTGACTCTCAACTACAAATTCAAATATATCACTTCTAACTTGATAGCTCCGTGGGAATCTCTTAGGCATCTCAGATTCAACATGTAGCAAGCTCTAGAGTTCTAGTCCCTGTGGAGATGCACGTCCCTTTCTCAGTCTTTCCCATCACAGCCCTTGGTACAACAATTCGTCTAATTGCACAGACCTAGAATCTGGGAATCATCTTTATCTTTCTGTATCTCCTTCATTCTAGTTAATCACCCTTCTGTTCGTTTCTTCACTATAAAATTTAGCATCATCTTTGTAGTGCCCAGGAGCTGCGGTGATGGGGTAGTGTAGGCATTTCAGCAGCTAACCGAAAGATCAGTGATTTGAGCCCACCAACCCCTCCAAAGGAGGGTGACAGGCAAACTGCTTCTGTGAAGATGCAAAGTTTCGAAAACCCTATAGGGCGACTTTGTTCTGTCGTTCAGTCACAATGTGTTAGAGTTGACTTCATGGCATTGAGTTACCTTTTTATTTGTTATACTGTATTAGGAAACCAAAAGGGTTAATAAATGAGAAACATGGAAACTCTTAAAACCCTGTCTGGCCTGTAAGCACAATATAAATATTGTTACTGCTGTTGCTGTTGTTGCTCGTTTTTCTCCATCCTAGTTAATATTGAGGTCTGAGTTTCCATTATCTGTCTCGTGGGCTAATACAATCAATAGCTTTCCGATTTCTGTACCTCCACACTCGTTCTGCTGCAGTTAATTCTCTACATAGTCAGGGTAACCTCTAAAAAGAGACTGCGCCACTCTTCAATGAACCCTTCAGAGGCTTTGGTTGCTCTTAGAGTGAAGCCCACACACATCACCGAACACCTGGGCCGCAGCTTACCTTGAGGCCTCGTCTCCTGTTACTCACCACGCTTGTTATACTTCAGTCTGTCTTCGCTTCCTCAGAGTAACAGGTTTTTTTAATAAATTTTTGCATTTGCTCTTCCGACAGCCTGAAATTCTCTTCCTAGCTCCTAGCACATCCACACATTTGCATTTTGAGTTTCAGTTTAACTGTAATCTTCAGAGCCTACTCTTTGCAAAATGGTCAGTCCCCATTTATGCTTTCCCAAAATACCTAGTTTATTTATTTCATGACTCTTTACACGTTGGTTGTTCATGTTGTTGTTGTGGGCCATCAAATCAGAACTGACCTGTAGCTGATCCTCCAGTGGGTTTTCAGAGGCAGTTGTTTGCATGAAAGAAGATTGCCCATTGGTTTCTGCTGTTAATTTGACAGCCTTCAACTCACAGTGACCCTGTGAATAACAGATCAGAGCCTCCCCTATCCTGTACCATCTTCACATCCCCTCCCTGCTCCAACCCATTGTTGCAGTCACTATGTGAATTCATCTTCTCGAGGGTCTTCTGCTCTTTGGCTGGTTTGTTTTGTTTTTTTCACCTTACCAACTAGAATAGAGTTTCTATGAGAGCAGAAACCTTATCCCTCTTTACCTCCTGAAGTACCTGGGAATAAGTAGATGTTAAGAAAATATTTATCAAATGAATGACCAACTCTAATGAGGAAGGAGATCTTTGTAGAAAAGGGATATGAAGATGGTTGAAAGTTTTCTTTTTAATTATTGTTAATAACCTATCTTGATAATCTTAACTGCTGTTTCCAAAAACAAACACCTGCTGTTGTTTGTCAGGTGCTTTAAGTGAACGGCCTAATTTCACACAGCATCTCACCTGACTGTGCAGCACCTTTCTCTCCTGTAAAATGAATCGGTTGTAAAGTTAGCTTATCTTATAGCAGTTGTGAGGCTGGACACTGTTAAAAAAAAAATCAAACCAACTAATGAAGGTGGTTCTAACTCATAGCAACTGTGTAAGACACAGTAGAACCCCCCTCCCCGTAGGGTTTGTATGGGAGCCCACTGCCTCATCCTTCTCCTGCAGGGCGGGTGGTAGATTTAAACCCTTGACCTGTCAGTTAGCGGCCTGATGCCTAACCCACTAAGGCTTCCTCAGACATCATCTGGATTGTTGAATATTCCCACTCTCCCCCTGAAGCCATGCAGTGATATCCAGTAATATAATTTTTAGGTAATAAAAAGCAAAACTCTGTGACTGGTCTGTTTGTGTTCTGTAATTTTTACCACATTGCATGCAAATATTTAAAATAAATTTTTGCCTGGGGGCAAAAACTCTCCTTTCCCCCCCCCTTTAATTTTTGGTGAGACCTTTGAAAATGACTGTCAAAACTATCATAATTTCTACCTTGAGACATGAATGAGAAACAAGACTATTTCTATAAACTTAGGAATAACAGTTCCTATCTTTAATGGAAAGTTAGAAATAGCAGGATAGATTTAAAATTTAAGTGTGGCAAAGAAAAAAAAGTGTATATGTTCTTGGCAATAAAAAGTATAAAGCTTTATTCAGAAACTATCAAAGAAAAAAGTAAATGGGTTGATATGAGAGAACTCAGGAAAATCTTTGACCTGGGGCCCAAGACTGACAAAACTATCAAAGAATCCCACCTTCAAGAGATAGCTGAAACTGATGTAGATAACAGTTGCATGCTGTTTAGCATTGAATTTGATAAAAAGCTAGTGAAGTTTTAGCATCTGTGTATTAAAGTTCTGAAATTTCCATCTTAAGGACTAAAATGAACCTAATATTGGTCTAGTTTGAGTGGAGAGTCCTTCCTAACTTTGGCAGTCTGTAAGTCAGTATACTTACTAACTATATCCAATATTTATGATTGTGTTATGTTATACAACAACTTAAAAGTACTTTACTAGACTCAGAGAAATCCAGACTTCTCTTGATTCTTGTAATTACTGTTGAAGGTCACTTGCAATATTCTTTTATGGTTGTTGTTTAACTAGCATGGACCTCAGCAGCTCTGTACAAAATCCTGAGGAGGAGAAGTATTCTTCTGTGTGTGTTGGCAGAGAAGATGACTTTAAAAGATCTGCAAGAATGACAGCCGTTGTCCATGATCGAGAAGTGGTCATTTTTTACCACAAAGGAGAATATCATGCTATGGACATTCGCTGTTACCGTAAGATTTTCTTTTTCATCTATAAACTATTTGCTAATCACAAAACCATAAAAGAGCAGTTTTTAATGTCCATATGTAATACTCATTTCCAGATTCAGGAGGACCTTTACATTTGGGAGAAATAGAGGTATGTGAAATTTAGTCTATTTTTAATAACATAAAAAATTCCTTTTATTATTCCTTTTTTATTATTATTATTAAATTTTATTAGTTTTAATGAACATTTACGGAGATTTTGGGTTTTCATTCCTTCATTGCTGCACCATTCTCTCTATCCTCCTCCCCAGTTTGTTCTTCTTCCCCCGCCCTCCGAATGTCTGTTTTAATTGTCCAATTGCCACAGTGCTTGTCAAAGCCAGTTCTGATTAATCTCCTTTGTCAGTGTGTCCTTTGCCATTCCCTATCACTCCTCCCTGAGAGAGACTTCACCCTGATTCATAAGGAAAAGGAGATGGCGTATTCTCTTAGCTACTTCCTGCTGAAAAGGGACGCTGTGGGTTTCAGGGTGAAGATCTTCTCTCACTACTCTAAAGGGCCCCTTTGGCAGTAGGAAACACATAGACTATTATGGAGATTGATTTTGGAATTTAGATGCACTGTTATTAATTGTGCTTAGCCGTACATGTTCATATCCTTGAAGATGTATCATGGGGGTGTTGCAACCTAGAAGACACAAATTTAACTAACAAGTTATAAGTACATGAGTCAAAAATTATGGAAAAGTAAAAGAAAAGATTCTTTCATTGTTTTACAAACCCTCCCCCAGGTCCCCTCCACCATGTAGCCCTTGCTCTAGACTTCTGTGATGACAGAAATACCTAGTCATATATCTCTTTTAAACAGTTTTCTCCCTCCTCTGTTTCAGTGCAGTATACATTATTGAACCTATCTTACTCAGTCTCTCCCCAACCCCGAGGTTAGTCCCATTCTACAACAGTGGCATCATGCAATATTTGTCCTTTTGTGACTGGAATATTTCACTCAGCATAATGTTCTCCAGAGTCAACCATTTTGAATAATAGTGCATGAGTTCCTTGTTCAGTGCAGCATAGTATTCCATTGTGCGAATATACCACAGCTTCTCTAGCCATTCGTTTGTTGATGGGCACTTAGATTGTTTCCAACTCCTTGCTATTGTGAACAAAGCTGCAATAAACATAGATGTGCGTATATCTGCTTGGATGTCAGCTATGGTCTCTTCAGGGTATATTCCCAGTAGTGGAATTGCTGGGTCAAATGGTATCTCTATTTGCAACTTTTTGAGAAAGTGCCATACTGCTTTCCACAGGGGTTGCACCATTTTACGCTCCCACCAACAGTGAATAAGGGTTCCAGTTTCTCCACAACTTGCCAGCATTTATTGCTTGCTGTTCTGTTAAATTTTGCTGTTTTGACTGGGGTGAGATGATATCTCATAGTTGTTTTAATTTGCATCTCTCTTAGGGCTAGGGATTTTGAGCATTTCTTCATGTGCTTGTTAGCCATCTGAATGTCGTCTTTGGTGAAGTGTCTGTTCATATCCTGTGCCCATTTTTCTATTGGATTATTTACCTTTATCTTGTTGTGGTGCTCAATTATTTCATAAATTCTGGATATAAGTCCCTTATCTGATATGTTATTACTGAATACTTTTTCCCAGTCAGTGGCTTCCCTTTTTACCCTGTTGGAGAAGTTTTTGGATGTGCATAGGGATTTGAGTCTTAGAAGATCCCATTCATCTACGTTATCTTCTCCTGGTTGTAGGTTTTCCAGGATACTGGGAAGACTGTTTATGTTGTGGATTAGGACTTCTAGTGTTAATTAAAAATAATTTAAGTTTAATTTAAATTTTAATGCTTTGAATAGAAGAGTTAATATTCTAGGAATTCACAACTGTACAATATAAAGGAAATGACTTGTAAACCTCCCATTCATTTACTTACACATGCTCGCATTCATATTCAAGCATTTTTGCAATTATAGTTTGAGTGTTTATCTTAATAAACCAAAACCACTGCTGTGGAGTCAGTTCCAATTCATGAGCCCCTCCACTGAGGCTGTAAATATTGATGGCAGCTTGCCGTGTCTTTCAGATATAATTCTCTGTGTGTTTATGATTGAATGGGAGGTTAGTTACCGCAGTATTTACTAAAATGAAAAATTGGAGGCAACCTAAGTGTTTTTATCAATAGCAGACTGGTTAAATAAATCATATCTAGTCATGCTACAACATATTATGTATCATTAAGTTCATGTGGGAAACCTGTATAGTAAGGGATGGCAGAGATAGTCTTGAGTTTTCATCAAAAGCAAGATGTAGAATATTAGTTCTGAGATCCTTTTGTTGTTATTGCTAAAAAATGATGTTTAATTTTTACTCTATACCCATCTAAATTTTT